TCGTACAATTCCGCCATAGATGGAATGATAAGTTCCATGTGGGACTTGGGGACAAATGGAAGTGATTGTACCGCACTCATGGCTTCCGCAAGATCACTTATTTTGTACGTTTGCATTGGCCCCGACACTCCGTCCCTTCGGACAAGCAGTCGAATCTTTCCGGTATCTGCGTGGCTTTCCATGTTTCGTATTCCACCATCTTTTTGCATGAAAAGGAAAAAGCAATGACAAAAAACACATAAAAAAGAAGAAGAAGAAAAAAATAATAATAATCATAATCAAAGAAAAACAAACAAACAAACACGGTAGAGAAAAAATAAAAGTGAGTGCGGTTCAACAATGACATCAAGAATCAGATGAAGGCAGTTGACTGCTCCAAGAGGGGGAAAAGAGCAATAAAATAAAATTTAGCAACAACAACAAAACAAGAAAAAAAAAAAGGAATCCGAAGAACAAATGACACAATATCTATTCTATTACTCACCCTAGGTTTTTTCTCCATTACCATTCCTTCTTGCGCTCAATTCCATCCAGCACGCATACGGAGGCAGTTCCGGGTAGAAGGCACCGAAGGCTTACTTGCCTTCACATGCAACGGTCCCTCGAGCTGAGTTCCACTATACCACGCATCGCCGGCCCGATATTCCCGACTTTGTCTGGTGAATTTGGGATGAGCTAAGATATCTGCTCTAAATATAGCAGCCCGCTCTGCACGTGAGAGGGTGGCAAGGTACGGGTTGCTAAACCCTTTCGCAACGCGTTTTTTCTCCAAGGCATGTGGAGAAACATCAGAGTGAGTAGGGCATGACTTTCGTGCCGCCTGCACATCTGCGGCTTTTCCTTTCAAATCCCAGCAAAGTGCAGACTCAATTTCAGGTCTGCCAATAGACTTATCCATCCGCTGGTAATGATAATTGAGTTCTTGTAAGTCAACCCGTCTTTCAAATCTTGAGTTATCTACCCCACGCAGGTGCTCCGTAGGGCTTGCGTCTTCAGAAAGTGAAGGAACGCCACGACAAAAGGGCAAAAATTCGGTATCCCCTGCGAGTTGATCCGCCGCTCTTTTTTTCGCCAACGCCACTGATTTCTGAGTCTTCGTAGGCTCAAAGGGGCATGGATTTCCTTTAAAGCCCACCTTGCTGCGCTGAATCAACCATTGGAGGCGATTTAATGACTTCTCTTGATATGTTCTTTCCCCCTTTGTTATTTTTGTCATGTGGACGGCAACTTATTCATTGCAAACAAATCAGGTGCGCACAACGATGTAAAAAATAATAACACAAACGCAAAAAGTTAAAGAGAAGGAAGGGGAAAGGATAGCAACAATAGTATATAAGCACAGGACATGCATGCATGCAAATTTACATATTCAAAAAGGGAAACGGCCATATATAAATCTTTTATAAATGGGCCCACAAATACAGCAAATAAGAATGGGAGAAAGCTTTAAAAGACAAGGGGTGGAAAACACAGAAAATAACAACAGAGGACACATAACAACAACGCGAATATTCACCTGAATGAGGCCCAGCTCCCCTCCTATTCCTACAAAGAGACAAAACACAAAGAAGACCACAAGTTGGTTCAATGCACCCGACATCCCCCACAACTCGGAGGGGATTCAGACAACACTCAATACGCCCATCAACAAACAGATGCAAAACACACCTGCTGCGATAACCGGGCATGCCGCAATATCACAAATTGGCATCCTTTCGCGCCCCACAACCGCCGGACTCCCCTGTGCAGAGGGCAATTGCAGTATTATTATTATTATTATTATTATTGTTGTTGGTAATGGGATGGACAAAGAACTCACACCCTGCTACCTTCCAACGTGCGGTATCGTCGGAAGCAAGTCAAGTTCCCAGTAAAGAAACAGCGGGGACCAAAAATGCAATATATCATCTTTCTTAGCCCATCCGACCGCCCGTTCTGTCCAAATGGTTCCAAAAGAAGGTGCTGGGTAACACTCGCTGTTTTTCATAATTCAGGCATTCTCAACCTCATTAAAGCAGGCGTCACAGACTCGCTCAGGGTCTGTATATGATGACTCTGGTATCACGCAGTTGTTAGACGAACAGGAGTTGCAGAAAACGTTCCCACAATTCCGACAGTGATGCCGTCGTCTCCAAAAGCCAAATAATCTATCACATCCCTTGCATGAGCTAACCGTTGAGTCATCCACCCAATCGACCTTGCGAATCCAAAAACTTGACAAATCCTTCGTTGTAAGATTCTCAAAATCAACATTTTCAAAGAATGGGTGCCTTTTTACTTCCTCCATGCCAGGACGTTGAACGGGATTTTTTATCAGAAGCTTTGATATCAGATCTTTCGCATCGCTATCCAAGTCTTCAGGGTAGTGAGGCTCCTTTTCAAGTATACTTTTTATGAGAAGATATTCTGTTGGCTCATCAAAGGGACGTCTTCCCACCAACATATGATATAATACGCAGCCGCATGCCCAGTAGTCAGAGGCAGTACAGGTATAATTGTCTTGTAAAAGCTCAGGCGACATATAATGCGTCGTACCGCAAAACGTCTGGGCACGACCTTTACTAGATTGTTCACCCTCTGGACGTTCATCAGCAGATTGACACACCACTGCTGTGCCAAAATCAATAAGCTTAATATGCTTGCTGCTTGTAAGCATTATATTTTCTGGTTTAATATCACGATGTAAAATGGTAATTGGCTTCAAAGGTGCATTAGGAACAATCGGAAGGCTTTGCTTAGGTGCATAGTGCAGGTACCAGACAGAAGAAAAAAGTTCCGCTAAAACATAACGTGCGGCGTCAAGTGGTAGCTTTTGGCGCGATGTAATGGCGTGGAGAAGCTCTCCTCCGTCGCACAATTCGGTCACGTACATGAGATCATCCGGTGTCTGCATCGAGGCAAGAAAACGAACTATATTTGGGTGTTTGCACATAAGAAGCATGCGAGTTTCCCTTCGCGCCACTTCAGCCATACGATTCCTTTCCTCATCCGAAGGAGCGGTGAGGATTTTTCGCTTTGAAATAAGTTTGACAGCATATCGCATACCATTCGGGATGTAACGCGCAACCAAAACCTTACTAAAGGCCCCTGTACCTAATGTTTTCTCAAATTCAAAGTCATCCGGCGACATTCGTGTGGTCGTCATGGTTGGATCAGACAAATCGAGGAGGCGGCAGCAAAACGGAACAGAAACAAAGAACAGGTGCCACCTTCTTAAAAATCTACTGCAGATAAAAGAGAAAAAGAGATGTGGGGGAGGAATAAACAACAATAGGGCTATAGGCTCAACAACTCAAGCTGCTCACGGCAAACAAAATAGCACAATGGGTGATAAAGAGAGAAGCGGGAAGACATGCAAGACAAAACAAAATTTTGAGTAGGCGACTCTATCCACTTCTGGGGTTTCGTTAAGAAACTTTTCAAATATTGCGAAACATTCATTGATAAAAACAATAATGATGGAGCATGGAAAACAGTCAAGATTTGCTCAAAGTTTTCAATAAAAAAAATGTCTATTTCTCTCGTTTCTCTGCTTGCTCTGAGACAAGAAAAACTATATCAACCCTCTAATTGTTTGTGTCGGCATATCAACAACACCCATCCCACCCCAAAAGAGAGAAAATAAATAAATAAATCTTTTCTATTCTGCACGCACGTACCTGTGTACGTGCGGGTCTACATTAAGTGATTCTGACGCTCCAAAAGGATCGTTTTTTTTCCATTCTCAATGTCTCCTTCCCGGTGCGTTTTTGCTACCTGCACAACAATCTCCACTGCTTCATGGTACTGTTTCAGTTTCTTCTCTCTCTCCATCTGAAGCGACAGAACGCGTTTCCTCGTAGCCAGCCTCCAAAGAACAAGAGTCCGCTTGCATTCGTAACTCCCACTCTTCAATTGCAGCCTTGTCACGACGCTCATTCCCAACGCGTTGCCCAACTCGTTTGGCCTTTCCTGCTATATTCTTGAAGTAGTCCAAAACAACTTCATCACGTAGCCACTGCTTGTACTGCTGATAGCATGCCTCGGAGGTTATTTTCTTAATAGATCGCTCTGTGGAATAGGTAAGTTCATGAAGGCAAAAGGCTAAATTACGCGCCATTTGAAGCTTTCTTTTACTGCGCTCAGAGTAAGGCTCAAAGCGCAGACACAATCGCTCAATGAGGGACTCCGTCGGTTTATCCCCCTCTACGCGTTCAAGCAGGGATCGCATAGCCAATTGAAATCGATCAGGAGGTATAGATTGGCTCAGTTGTGCAACAAGTGGAGGAATCAAATTACCTGTTTTTTCCTTTTCCTTCATGGCCAAGTTCTGAACAAATGCTATAGCATTGTTCGCAATCGTTTCATCGGGATCTGCGACAAGCTTCACAATGGTATACAAATGGTCCCTGATTCGAAGCATCTCTCCAAGAACGAGGTGAGAGCAAACCTGAATCGTCACTGCACGAACTCTCAAATCATCATCGTTGAGAAGTCTAAAAAATCCAGTCGTTGGCACCTTCAGGTACGGAGCAAGCAGGTTTGGATGCACGCAAGCCAAATCACCCAAGGCGATCACCGCGTTCGTCTTGACCACCCAGGACTCGCGTTTTTCAGAGACAATAGCAAAAAGTAGATTCAGGTTCTGTTCACAAAAAGTTTCGCTTATAACCATAAGTTCAGAAAGAGCCATAACGGCACATACTCTCTCCAAGGCTTTTTCCCCAAAATGTTCGGATTTTTCCCGGCAAGCTGCAACAACATACTTGGAGTATCGATACCATACTGATCCCTCTGACATAATGGCATTCTTCCGTCTTTGAGCCAACTCCTGAATAGCATGTCTCTTGTATTCATGAGACCCTATTCCAAGTTCTTTGTGCATAACATCCGCGTTGCTATTACTGTTTATATCATTTAGTGGCTTCTGGGACATCACTTCTGCATCAAGTCTCTTTAGTTGTTGTCTTTCCGCAGAATCTACGGCGACAAGTTGTTTAATTGCCGTTCGCCCCAATAAGAAAAATAGCTGCGTCAAACTATTTGGTTCTGTTTCAATTCGGCGAACGATGTAATCCAAGACGTAAGTGTATACTAAAGCAGGTGATTCGCATAGACTATGAATGGCATTCACTGCAGCATCCGCAAGCATTAGCCAAGAAGAAATTTTCGATGTGCGTCGACAAAGGTGAATCACAAGTTGTTCCAATATAACATGCTCACGTGGTTCAACCCTCACAGGTATCGGTTGGTAATGTGGATTTTGATATTCACTCTCTAAGCTCTTTAAACAATACGCAAGAAGAACATTATCTTTTATGGCATCTGAACGCAAAAACTCTACAATACTCTCTTTTCTTGCACAAAGTTCTCGCCAATCATGTTTGCATAAAAGGCTAAAAAGCCGCATAGCTGTGCGTCTATCAGTAGGTGAAACATCATGATCCATTGATCCTTCTGCAATACTCCACACGGCATCCATAAATTGACCCGATAGCAGCCGTGAGAAGGAGGGATTGCATTTCATCAGGTCAAAAATACGATCAACAGCACTGACATCACCTTCCGTGGCCCCACGCAAAAAACCAATCAACTTGTGGGCACTGGCCATATTTCGCATCAAAGATGAGGCTGATGTTTTCGCAAATGCAGTAAACACAACCTCCACAAAGGCATCACGTACAGCGCATTGTATTTTAATTTCCCCTTCAAATATCATAACTAGAACTCTGAGAAATGCCTTTTCTGAACCTTCAATGTGATATTCATTGCACGCGACAATAAGTTTGATAGCCTCTATGGCATCACGTTCTGTGCGACTATCTAGTAACATGGTAGCGTGGCACAAAGCCTTCTTTATTAATTCAGCAAATTCAAGTGCTTTTTCGTAAAAAATCAGCCTATTTATCATGGAACTCTGCTCGTCTGATAATTGAAAAGACGCTGTTGCGTTTTCTTCAGATTCACAAAAAAAACCATTTGTTTCAACTTCAACAGGTCGGCATTTACTTCTCAATTTATCCAATCCCTTTCGAAATATATCATCAGAATCAAACATCCTTGCTGCTGTTATTCGAGATTCTTCCAGTTTGTCACGAACCAAACAGGAGTTTAAAACTTGTCCAAACCAGTTTTTACGCAAAATACAAGCAATAACCTGAAGTGCAGAATCTCTGACAAGATGATTTCGATCTTCTAATCGTCCAAGAATTGCATTTGTTACAGCAAGATGAAAACGTTTTGGAATTGCTCGAGCTTCTACGAGTCGTCCCCACATATGGATGGTGTGGTTACGAACAAATGGATTACAATCCATTATGCGGAATAATATTTCACTAAGATATTTATCCTTGGTTTCTTCTTCATCATCTGTACTACGCATTGGTCCCGTATACCTTTGAATAACCATCTCTGTTATACAGGTTATCACGGATTTGCGTATCTCATAATTTTCACTATGAATGGTTTGGACAATCACATCGGCCATCCGAACAGTGATACTTACACATCGCTTTGCAACCTCGCTAAAAAACAATGCCATATTTTTTGCGGCTCCAGCATCTCCGGAAACGTCATGAAGTGCAGCAACGGCCATTCCTTCAACTAGTACGGTAACAATATTAGTGGTAGAATCATTTGAAATATCCCCACTTTCAGCTTCTGAAACAAAACGAGTAAGGAACTGAGATGCAAACTCCGTTTTTAAGGCCAGTTCTATCATTGGCATAATAAAATCACGTGGTTCAACTGATCCATGGGCCATAATGTGGTCACAAACCCTGAGTAAAAGAACTGCAAGTGCACCTGAAACAGACTGAGCGTCATTCTGAACATTGGATTTTTGAGTTATCATATGAAGCACCATACGAAGTATCAGATTTAGCATGGTTTCTTCAATTTTACCTCCCCATAAAGTAAATAAATCCGGTGAACAGACATCAATCAAAGCGGTAAGCGCAAGCTCACGACCATCTTGATCCACACCACTGCAATCTTCACCAATGCCTGTATCCTGCTCACTTCTGGTCCGTTTTCGCCTTCTTGTACTCCGCTGAGAAGAGTAAGACAAGTTTTCGTCTTCCTCAGGCATTGGCACTGAAGACAACAGTATATTACAAAGAATGAAGACATACATTTTTACAGTCGAGCGTAAACAAATCAGCAGTGCGTCACTAACACCACCATCAGTTTTTTTTTTTAAATAAGTTAGACAAATTTGTAATAGCTTTTTCAGGCGTTCAGAAACTTCATGACAAATCTTGTGTCTGGCGTGTTTAGTAACAGTTTGGTTAGTCTCTGGACTCTCAATGGCCTTAATATATGAAAATAGGGCTGTGAATATTTCTGGTTTTGAAAAAAGTGATGTGGGGGATTTTTCCCTATGAAGACAATCAAAAATCCTCGTCAAGTCATCTAATTGTTGTCTCGGATGAATATCAAATTCGCATGGCTCACTAATATGGTATTGATTTATTCCAGTTTTTTCTAGATCCTCCAAATCGCGGGCGTGTATAGGAACAAAAAACTCAAGCACGTCCGTCATCTTTGCTCTTCTTTTTTAATTTTTTATCAGCTTTACTGTGTTTTTTGAAAGAAATGCTTACTATGATAAAGAGTGAATAAATAAATAAAATAAGAAGAAAATTGGGGTAAATACAAAGATAAATACAAAATAAATAAATAAATAAATAAACAAGTGTGCACAAATCCAAAATAGTTTAAAATAATAATAATAATAATAATAATAATAATAATAATAATAATAATAATAATAATAATAATAATAATAATAATAATAATAATAGGGTAATGACTATATGGTATATTATAAATCCGTTAATATAAATAAATCTTACAAACACCACCATAACCGTTCCTTATAACATCAAGCAATATATATAAATATAAAATAAAAAATATAAATAAATAAATAAATAAAATAACAAAAAGAAAATGGATCTTAACAAAAGACAAATAAAACATCATTCATAAGCAAACAAAATTGTCATATCTTCAAGGCCAATTCGTGGCCCTGCAATATAGCTCGCTTCGCGTCCAATTCTGCAGCCTCGAAACACCCGCCTATTAAATGATATTTCACGTTTTGCAAACCACTGAGAAGCCGTTGATCAGATTGCTGACCATGGCAAAAAACAATTGAATCTACATCTAAATTATGCTTTTTATCACCAATACTGTAAGACAAAGTTTTTCCATCAAAAGAATCATAAGTAACACCAATTATTTGTTTTACATTATGGGAACGAAGCTCCAGACGATGAATCCAGCCTGTTGTGGCTCCCAAACGTCGTCCCATTTTACCTGTGCTTCGTTGTAACATCGTAACAGCACGAGCTGACTGACCAATATTCGGTTTCCTTAACCCACCTGGGCTAGCAATTTCAAGATCAATACCCCAACGTTTCGCAAACTGTTCGAGATTTTCCTTTTGGTATCCCGTACATCCTAGCAAATCATGATTTTCAACAAGAAAGTAAGCAACATCAAAACCAATACCACCACCGCCAATTATTGCAACTCGATCACCCACATGAGCCTTACCGGAAAGCACGTCAACATACGAAAAAACATTTTTCAGACCTTCCACACCTTTTATGACAGAGTTTTTAATGGGCTTTGGAAGACAACCAGTTGCTACTATAACTTCGTCATAAGCAGTCTTATTCAATAATGAAGCATCCACTTCTGTTTTTAGATGAAGCTTTACATTATTTAATGTAGTCAAGGAATGAGTCCAGTATCTAATGCTACTCTCGTATTCCGCCTTACCTGGAATTTTTTTTGCAAGATTAAACTGGCCACCCAAACAATCCTCCTTCTCATAAATTGTTACTTCATGTCCTCGTTGTGCCAAAACCAAAGCACAAGAAGCGCCACTCGGTCCTCCACCGATAACTGCAATCCGTTTCTTCTGCTTGGTAGGAATAACAGCACGTTCTTTTTCATGACACGCTGTTGGATTGACAAGACAAGATGAAATTTGGCCTTTAAAAATATGGTCCAAACAAGCCTGATTGCATGCAATACAAATATTGATGTTATGCACATTCCCTTCCTCGGTTTTTTTAACAAAAAAAGGATCACTCAAAAAAGGACGGGCCATGGCAACAAGATCAGCATCTTTACTTAAAACTCGCTCAATCACATCTGGGTGGTTCACCCGATTAGCAGTCATAAAAGGAATGGAAATCCCTTTACTTCTCAGATATTTTCGGCAAGCTGCCGTAACCCATGTAAAACCAGCTCGAGGAACAGAAGTTGCGATAGTAGGAACCCGTGCTTCATGCCAACCAATTCCGGTGTTAATAATATCGGCACCTGAATTTGCAACTTCTTCAGCTAATTTGCAAACTTCTTCATGCGTTGACCCATTTGGGATCAAATCCAACATTGAGAGACGAAATATAATAATAAATTCCTTTCCCACTGCATTCCGAACACCTCGCAAGACCTCAAGTGGGAAACGCATTCTATTTTCGTATGAACCCCCATATTCATCCGTCCGTTTGTTTGTATGCTTTACAATAAATTCATTTAGCAAATATCCTTCAGAAGCCATAATTTCTACACCATCAAAACCGGCCTCTTTTACAAGAGCAGCCGCCCTCGCAAAATCCTTGATAGTTTTATTTATCCAAACCTTTGGTAAAGCGATTGGACGAAGGTGATATCCTTTAAAAGGCCAAATAGGACTGGGTATACCAGAAGGAGCCACGCACAATGGACTGTAAGCATATCGTCCAGCATGCAGTATTTGCATTACAATCTTTCCCCCTTCTCTATGGACGGCATCGGCAACAGGCTTATATTCCAAAGCATGAGATTTAGAAGATATACAAGGCGCAAAAGGATTCAGTTTTCCCTCAAAGTTAGGGGAGAAACCACCTGTAACAATCAACGCACATCCCCCTTTGGCCCTTTCACCATAAAAATCACACATCCTCTCGATCCTGTCTTTCTTTAAATCCTCCAATCCGGTGTGCATACTTCCCATAACTATACGATTGCGCAAAGTTGTAAACCCCAGAGATAGGGGCGAGAACATTTTTTCATACATTAAGGACATCCTCCCTGCTTACTTTTTTGAATATCTATCCTTTAAAAGCAGTAAAAAAAAAAAAAAAAGGTGCCAAAAACCAAATCATAGGGTAGAAATTTGCAATTGATATTAAAATTTTTTTAAAAAGGGTCATGCTGTTTCGCAAAATTGCAAACCATAACACAAAACAAAACAAAACAACTGCAAAAAATAAAGGAGAATTCGACGCCCATAAAAAAAACACAGCCTTATGAATGACCAAGCGGAGTTTCACAAAACAATATTGTCACCGATATCCAAAATTACGCCGGAGAAGTTACGGAAAAATGTCAAAAAAAGCGGACGCCCTCCAAATAAAAACACCACATTTCACCAACATACGCCAAGAGAACCGGACAAAGAAAACACACACGCACACGAAAAAAAAAAAAAAAAACGGCGCGACCGACGCCGCCCGGACATTGCCGGCACCCCGAAACCTCGGGCGGTCAGAAGGGGCAGGAGGAATCGAGATCCGGGTCGTGACGGCGCCCTGCCCCTTCCTGGGCGTGTTTTTTTTCTTTTTTTCGATTCGGCATTGTCGTTTCTTACGGCCGTCGCCGGCGGTAGCCGTGTCTTTTTTCCTTTTCCACCAGGCGTCAGTGCATGGGCGATCGCTTTTATTTTCCCGGAGAGCCCGGGAGAAAGGTTGCAAGGAATTATATGTATATATAATTGCGTTATTTGGGTGGTCACATATTCTTTGTAAAGAGTTCTTTTCCCCGCTGGTAAACACGGCGGCTTCCAAAAACGAAATTAAAAGATATTAACAATAAAACAAATTATTTATTATGCCTTTCTTCTTTAAGCATAGGCTAAGGGCGATTTTGACAAATTGCTTTTGTTTTTAGGAACGGAGCACAAAAGGCCTAAAAGCCATATCATTTTTTTGCTGGTTATTTTTTTCTACTTCAGGACACACCGCTTCATGCCATGTTTGTTTTTTGTTCTTTTGTTAGTTTTTGTTTTGTTGAGCGGTTGAATCTTATTATATTCCACCCCTTTTTTCCCCGCCAGTTTATCTGCGCGTGTTTATGCGTCTGATCACAATACGCTGGAGCGGTGTTTTTGGAACGATTTTGTATCGTGTGAGTTGGCGTGAATTTTGGGTGTATTCAATATATATATATATATATATTGCAAAGTATTGACGCTTTTTTTCCATGTTTATTTTTAAACTTTTTAAAAACTTGTAATTAAGGAAAGCCGTAATTATTACGGGGCGTTTTTGCAACACCGAGAGCAGTCACCAATCGCAACAACAAATAGAATTGAGAGTGCTTACTTTTAGGGGATATCATTCATGCACAAGAGCCCAATGAAAAGACATTAGCGCGGGCAGAGGAAAATAACAAGGTAACGAATGAAGCGATATTTTTATTTTGCTCTATTTCGCTTGTTGATATACCACACCAGTGAACTCACATTTGACGCAAATGCGGCGACGGATCCAGCAAGACTCTTTGAAAACAGTCTATTGAATCATGGATGAGTGCGAATTCCGGAACTGCTTGTACTCATCTCTTCTGTCTGCCTTTTCCTTTTGGGATAAAAGGAATTATTGTGACCACTGCTGCTGCTCAATGAGAGGGGTCGGAAACGGAAACAAAACCATTTCGGTGTCAAGGTTTTGTATATACGGCAGGGGAGAAAGAAAAAAGCACAAGTAATCATTGGCATCCTCCGATGTGGACGGTGCTGAGACAGATGTATCATGAGCTGCCGTACAATTTACCTTTGAGGTGCTTGCGATTCTGGTATGCCATGACGAAAAATATAGGGTAAGATTACGCACTTACTTGTTTGCCTTTTGAATATTATTAAGGTAGCGAACCCAAAAACAGGCTTGCAGTTAATTACCATGAAACCAATTTTCAATACTACGCATATGGTTGGAGGCAAATTTTTGAAGTTGTCTTTTCCTTTTGAGAACAGCGCAGTTGTGACGAAAGAGGGATGATTTGTGTTTTTTTTTCCAAACTATAAACGCGAATGGGCTTGCAATATCCAGCTTAATTTATTCGGAGGATGACAAAATAGCGTCGAGACCCCACTATCGAGCGAGTGCTGAGGGCGGCAGAGATGTCGCCATTGTGGATTGGGAAGATGCGAAGATGCCCATTTTATCTCTTTGCCATCTCGGAAATCGCAGAGTTTACGGAGGACGAGATGACGGGAAGGCATGGACAGAGGCTCTTGGAACACCCTTACGCGTGTGCGGCAAAAACGGGAGAGAATTGGTTTTGGAATTGGAGGTAACGCTATTACTGTGAGTATTATAAAGAATAAAGTGATGCTTCCTAAAACACTTGGCGCAACATGGTACATAAAGCGAGAATAAAGGGTGGCCGCTTAAATTGTGGCTCCCTAACTTCAGTAATTACATCTTTGACCCTTGAACGATATCTGAAATTGACAAGACAGCCACAGTCATTCTTCTGTTGAAAAAAGACGGGACTTTGTTTACTTTTTACGAGAACGGCGGTGATACATCCTGCAGTTCTTTTATTACACTTGTTATTCTTTTTGGCTGCGTGGTGAGATCCGTAAAAAAAAAACTTGTAAGGATGTGGACAACCGTGTTTCCCAGAAGTGTAGTTTTTTAACTGCGGCGAAGGCTTTATCACCTCAAGGGGTTTGCATTATTTACGTACCCACGAACGTTAGGGTTGGATATTAGTCTGGTACCCTTACTGCAGGTCAGCGGAAAGATGACTAACTTCAAGGGGATACAAAAGTTCATGGGAAATCGAGAAACACGAATGATGATTTGTGGTTTAAACGTTCTGGATCAGGAGGAAAATGGTCCGTTGGCAAACCAGGGCAGAAGCAATTTTACCACTTTGCAAACTACAACTTTATTCTTTTGGCAACGGTGACCGTCCACCGGGTTCCGAAGGAGAGCACTTTTCTGCTGGGTGTGGGTCTGGGGGACGGTCAGGGCGCGAAGATCATTGGACTGTCGTACGGCATGAATAAAAAGTGGGTGACAGTGTTTGATGGGAAGAAAACAGCATCGAGCACCACTTGGGAGCTGGGGAAAGAACACCAGGTGGCGCTCATGCTGCCGGACGGCAACAAGGGCTCCGTGTACGTGGATGGTGAGATCGTGGGGAGCTCTGCGACGTTGCCAACACCTGAGACGCTGGGACATGAAATCGCACACTTCTACTTTTTGGGATGCGAGGGAGACATCAACAACAATGTGACAGTGACGAGCGTCTTTCTGTACAACCGCCCACTGAGTGTCGGTGAACTAAAAATGGTCAAGAAGAGCGACGCCAAAAAAGGTAACAGTGACGGCTCCATGCGTGGGGGCATCTCTCGGATGCTGCTGTGCGGCATTGTGGCCCTTTACTGAGAAACTGCAGTGAGGACTTCCTGCCTCCAGCGGGAACACATGCGTCTGGCCACTCACTCTTTTAAATAATTACCACTTTTTGTGGACACTTTGTTTTAACCATTTTATTTTACTTTGCGCCCTTCTTGCTGTGCAGGGCTTTTTCTCCATGTGGAAGCATGCTCTTCCTCCGGGGACTACACCGCGGAGTTTTTTTTTTTATTCTTTCTTTTGTGTTGTGTTCCTCCGACAATTACGGGATTTACTCAATGCTTTTTCTCTTTTTTTAGTGACCAGAGACGCTCCCGGCACTGTGTGCCACGCCGATGGCGCCGGCTAATAAAAGAGACAATGGAATGGGGACACGGAACCACGCCGAGTGTCCCAGTGGAATATAAATAATGTGTGGGCACCGGGGATTTAAACGACTGTAACGAGTGTATCGTATTTATCTTCAGGCGAAACAAACGCACCGATTTGGAGGCCACGCACCAGCGTGCAGTTTTTCGTTGAGTGAATGCATAATGGAAGACGTATTTAACTTTATTTTATTTTACTTTTTAGCATATGTCCCGCGGCTCGCCACGGCGTGGGCAGCCGTGCAGTGTTGTGTTTCAACATTCATCGTGTTTGTTCTTTTTGTCTGGCACTCTTGTTTGGTTGTGTGTGCCCTCAGATGCTTTGCTTTTTTTTTTTTGTATTTGTTGGTACACACACGGCGTACATGTTGCAGTGCAGTTGGTTGCTCCTCTCGCACTCGGTGCTGGCAGTTGCGTGTGGCAGCCGCTCCTCCGTTGAGTTGGTGGGGGAGTGGGCGAGCGACTGCGTTGGTGGGGTTGCGCCCCAGTGGGGGAGGGAAGGCGCTGACCGCCGCTGACGACGACGGTCTTTGCTGCAGGTGACCTGACGAGATGACGTCACCGGTGTCACAGTTAGCAGAGATGGATGAGGACCGCACTGCGTCTCTGTCCCCTCTCTTAATCCTTACACTCCACTGCTGACTGACGAATTGCAGGGCAGTGGCGTGATTACAAACCGGTCGTCTATGAGTCAACAGGTCGCACAATCGACGTGGACCCTTTTTCCCCCGTGTTTGATTGCCGTCACCGTACTTCTTTGTTCCCTTCTTTGTGCAATGCCGTGTGCTCATGGTGCCGCTGCTTGTTGTGCAATGCCGACCCACATGAGCGAGAAACGACGCTTTGACTGCTGGGGGCCGGCGAGCTCTCCACTCCACTTACGCACCACCAACGCCAACACCTTTTGTACGCGCTTGATGGCTGGCGGTCGTAACGCTGCCACGTGGTCTGCCTCGGCTCTTGTGTGTCGTGCACGGCATCGGGATTGCCATGTGATGGAGCCATTCGGTAAAAGGAGCGGTGCCAGTGGTCATGTTGCTTTTTGCCGACATTCCGCCACTTTGCATGGTGGTTGTGTGGGGTTATGTGGGTGGTGGGAGGGCGATGGTGCCACTGACTTGATTGCGTCAGCGCGACTTTGCCTCGGTGGCTGTACTGTGACGGGGATTGTGTATGACCGGATGTTTTTGCGTACCACTGTGTCTGGTTACTGTTGTTGTTGCCGCCTCTTATTCTTTTTCTGAGCGTGCAGTTAAAGATACTTTTGCCTGACCAGCACAGCTATCGTT